CATTCTTTGGACTAAAAATTTGGTTTTTTGCGTTCCTTTACTTTTCCTGTTATTCTCTTTTAGTGAGCGCATTTTGCCTACGCTCTGGCATTTTGACACTTTTCAGAGTTTGGTCCAAAAAGATAAGGAATGCACCTCTTGTGTGAAGACGGCCGGTTAAAAGAGAGCCTATCCGAGTTGTCAATCACACCTTGTTTAATACACCTTGTTCACGGTAGAGCTGGGATACTATCGATAGTACCGCCACTCGATAGTTTTACAAACGATTGTTGAAAACATCGATAGTACTATCGTCGTGAGAGGTATTGAATTTAAATGCTAAATTGATTGAAAATTAAATCAATTATAAATTTATAAACTACTTTGTAAATTAAAGAGATTATATAAATTTGTTTAAATTTGCGTGCATCAAAAAGAGCTTCTTATTATAATAAAAAAAACTTATTAATTTATGCGTCTTATATACATACACTTGCATCCACTTGAATATGGAAAAATTAAATTCGGATTTTGTTTGTCCCTTTTGAAGTGCAAAGAAGAGAAATTGGTTATAATAATACATTTCTAAGGGCCGTTTTCTCATCTAACCTTTATTTTACCGGCCACTTTTTCTTCTCGATATACGAGTTTTCGTTTTCTCATTAGCGCATTAAATTCTCGAATCGATAAATTGTTGCTCAGCCGATGCAACCTTTAAAAATGTGTACCCAACTTTAAATTTTGGTTTGGTTTTGGTTCATGAGTCAGATATATTAGATATTTCCACCAAGGTTTTGGTTTTTGCTAAGAGTTGCTCTTGCTCTCTGTTTGCTTATGTTGCATTGCCAACCTTTGAAATTTTATGACGAATGTAGTGAAGTTTCACTCTCGGAAATGTAGTGAAGTTTCACTCTACGGAAGGACAAATTTATTTTTAGAGGTAAGATTAGAAAACGAAAACACTTTAAAGTGAGGAACAATTTATCTTCCCTGTTAGTAAAGGCAACTTTACTGCTTACATTAGAAAACGACCCTAATACTACAAAACAAAAGATATTCGTTTAAATTGACAACTCATACTTATAAAATTTCAACTAAGGTCAAATACGGAGGCGCATTTCAAAACACGGACAAAGGAAATTATTAATATTTTTCCATATTATAAGAAAACGAATAAAGTACTGGTCAAAATAATAGAACCACAACATTTTTAGCAGTTTTGACTATTTTTTTGTTTGTTTAGTGTCTACTAATTTTTTATAAAAGTTGTACAAAACATAAACAACTACAAAATCATTAAAATTTCAAGCTTCTTAATTCGAATTTCTATAAAAATTTTGTGTAGCGGTTTTATAGCTTATAAAATTTTACTATAGTTGCAAAAAATTCCAATAGCTAAAATTTTTTTTGCTGACTGTATTGTTAATTTTCTTGGATGAAAATCTAAACTTTGGATTATCGGCCACTTTATCGTCTCGATATACGGGTTTCCGTTTTCTCATCAGACGGTAAAGTGGCCGGTAAACTAATGGTTAGATGAGAAAACGGCCCTAAGAGATGTAAAGAAGAGAGAAGTTTCGCTAAAACCGACATCGATAGTTTTCAAAAACTATTGATAGAAGCGACAATTTTCAACTATCGATACTATCGATAGTATCCCAGCTCTAGTTCACGGCATTGCTTGATCATGATGCAATAATACAAGGTGTTATCGGTTGGCAACTTCTCGCTCTAATTCCGCCATATTGACTGCCTTAACCGAAACAGTGTTACTTCTTTAACAATTCTTTGCCTAATAATATAGTTGACTTTTTTTTTTTCTCAGTATACACATTTTGTTTTCTCAAAAAGGTATTATAGCTTATTTTATTTCATTTCATTGCGAATATACTATAAAAAAGGCAGATTTTGTTTAGAAGAAAATATGCAATTTTATATTTTTTCCCCAAATGGGGATTAATTTCTTCCCGTTTTTCTTCCTTTTCTACTGAGCTAAGGCAGTGTCAAATCGAGGTGTCACAACTGATACTACCTTATATTATTGCATCATGCTGTTTGATATGGGAAGTAAATAAATTGGAATACCATTTAACAATTCTAACAACTGACGCGTATCGAAAGATGTATTAAAAATAAGATAATCGAGTTCTCAGAATCGATTCTCTATCGATTTCGAAAATTTAGAATCGATTCTCTAAAATCGATTATTTCGAGAAAATCTTCGATTTCGACTTCTCCATTCCTAGTATATACTGTGAATGAAATTGTTGGAATTACTGCGTTATTCGATTGGTAAAATAAAGTACCAAGGCGTTAAATATATTTTTCATTTCTTTGGGTTCCGGCGTATATCAAACAAGTCTTTTGGCAGATATTAAACATGGCTTCTTTCAATTTACGCAAAATATATAAAATGTTTGATAACGAGAACGAGACTAAGATTAGTGCGGATGCCCTCGAGCAACTGCAGCAATGGCAGTTAATTCCTCGTGAAGGGCAATATTTGTGTGCTCAGGGCCATGCGCTGAGGTTGCTACCGTCTTCTGCAAAACTTGATGGATTTATTTGGCGGTAAGTTTATGTGTCAATATCAAATTATAATTCACAAAAATCTTATTATGTGTAGATGTCACCAAAAAAGTGCGAAGGGCAAAAGGAAGGCGCGAACGTGCAGTGTTCAAATTTCTATCAGAAAAAACACTTTTTTCTATAGGTCGAAGCTGCCTATGGTAAAGCTCATTGCTTTTTCTTACCTTTGGATTAAGAATGTGCCGCAAGATTTTATAACAGAGGAGTTAAGTATCTCTTTGCGGACCGCTATTGAATGGTCTAACTGTTGCCGTGAGGTGGTGTATACTGGTATGAATCGAATAGGGTATCAAATCGGTGGCGCCGGGTCTGTCGTTGAGATAGGCGAAAGCGAATTCGGCCGCCGGAAGTATGATTCGGGTCGTGGTGTTGAGGGGCAGTGGGTTTTTGGTGGAGTGGAGCGGGGTACCAATAGGTGTTTCCTTGTTCCCGTTGAACAGAGGGATAAGGAAACCTTATTGGCCGTTATAAAACGTTGGATTCTTCCTCATACGACTATAGTTTCCGATTTTTGGAAGGTGAGTTTGATGTCGTAGATGTTTATACATATATGCATACATACATAAATACAAATTCAAAATGCTTTTCATTACAGGAATATCACTGCTTGAGGGATGAGGGGTATGTTCACCTTAAACAAAACCATTCGATCAACTTTAAAAATCCACAAACTCAAGAACACACTAACACCATTGAGGAACTTTGGCGGCATGCCAAGCTTTCAATGCCTCAACACCACCGAAACAAAAAGGTTTTAAGCGAACATTTGGCAAAGTTTTTATTCACGCGGCATTGCAAGCTTGCAGACTTAGATGCATTGAACGTATTTTTCGAAATGGCGGGCTTATCGTACAATCCATTGAGTCCGTACTTAGATATAAGAGAAGACGACATTAAAGAGGAGTTGAAGGAGGAGTAGTAGGTGTGGTATTTATTGGTCTTAATAAGCCCTTTTTCATGTTGCAAGAACTCAAACAAAGATACCGAAGCGAAGCGAAGATAATCGCAGATTTATTTCATATTTCAAATACCTCACCAACTCGGGCATTCCAAGCGCAACTATTTTCTCATTCGGAAGAAAACTGTATGTGCCACTGTAGTCAAATGGTGTTTCGAAAGAAAGACACATTTACGCAGTATTTAACGAAAAATATTAAAATCCGAAATTTCATATATTTATTTAAATGTCGTTTATATAAATTTTGTTTTAAAAATGGCTGTAATATATACTATGTATGTGTATCATATAAAAAGTTATTTAAACTATCTTTTAATTGGCATACATCATCGGTATAATCGGGTTGGTTTTCGAGATATACCTACATATAAAAAATATAATAGTTGAACTCTAACCTCAGATCTTCATTGCCTTTTTAATTATGCCTACCAATATTTTTTTATAGCTTAAGGTTGGTATTCTCGACTTGTTTATTTTATTTGAATTTATAATATCCGTTTTTAGTGCTTTTAATTTATTATTCTAATCCGCGTAACACTCTGTTCTTTAATAAGCAAAAATCTGTAGCATCACCCTGTAAAGTCCAAAAATTCCACCATTCTGGTTTATTTCCACCCCCAAAAAGTCAGCTGTTTTGGAGCATGCATTGCGAGTTCTTTTCGTTTATTAAGTAGATCCGGAGGGCGGCCAAAAATAAACAACTTTCCAATTCAATTAAAAAGTTGTTTGAAGATGACTATTTTAACAAGAATTATCGTTTCCAATTTGCCTCAACGCATTGGTGCACTTAAAACACTTCAGCAAGTATGTATTGTTTGGCACAATAAAAAATAGAAACCTATAAAAGTTCGCTAGGTTATGTAATTTACGTGCTTTAATTTACTTTATTTTCTACATCTACGATTAAAATGTATCTAGAGTGGCTACTGCACGCATATTAAATTCGCTGAACATAAGCCAATAGAGAAAATACGGAATATTGGTATTTCGGCACATATTGACAGCGGCAAAACTACGCTCACCGAACGCATTCTCTTCTACACCGGCCGTATTGCTCAAATGCATGAGGTACGCGGCAAGGACAATGTTGGTGCTACTATGGATTCAATGGAATTGGAGCGACAGCGCGGTATAACTATACAATCTGCAGCCACTTATACGATTTGGAAGGATACCAATATTAATATCATTGACACACCCGGTCACGTGGATTTCACAGTGGAAGTAGAACGTGCATTACGTGTTTTAGATGGCGCTGTGCTTGTACTCTGCGCTGTGGGTGGTGTACAAAGTCAAACATTAACTGTAAACAGGCAAATGAAACGTTATAATGTGCCTTGCTTGGCTTTCATCAATAAGCTGGATCGCACAGGTGCAAACCCTTATCGTGTGCTGTCGCATATGCGTTCAAAGATGAATCACAATGCAGCTTTCATACAATTGCCAATTGGTGTGGAGAGTGATTGCAGGGGTATTGTAGATTTGGTGACTGAGAAGGCCATTTATTTCGAAGGCACACATGGCATGGAACTACGTTATGATGAGATACCTCAGGACATGCGCGCAGAGTCAGTCGAACGCCGCCAGGAGCTAATTGAACATCTTTCAAACGTAGACGAAACACTGGGCGAACTGTTCCTAGAGGAAAAGACACCAACGGAGGATGATATAAAGGTTAGGTATCAGTAAAGCATCAGCGTATTTGTATTAAAATTATTCTTAAAAATTGTTATTTACAAATTTATAGAACGCCATACGCCGTACTTGCATCAAGCGCACGTTTACCCCTGTCATGGTGGGCACTGCACTGAAAAATAAAGGTGTCCAACCCTTATTGGATGCGGTTATCGAGTACATGCCTAATCCAGGCCAGGTAGAGAATGTCGCTTTCATTGAAAAGGAAGGACAAGACCCTGAGAAAATTGTACTCAATCCTGCACGCGATGGTAAAGCTCCATTTATCAGTCTGGCATTCAAGTTAGAAGCTGGGCGCTTTGGACAGCTCACCTATTTGCGTTGCTATCAGGGTATGTTGCAAAAGGGTGACAACATCTTCAATGCGCGTACAAATAAGAAGGTGCGTGTTGCGCGTCTCGTGCGTTTGCACTCGAATAATATGGAGGATGTTAATGAAGTTTACGCTGGAGATATTTTTGCACTCTTTGGTGTTGATTGCGCTTCAGGAGATACCTTCACCACAGATCCTAAGGGAAACATTTCAATGGAGTCTATTTTCGTACCAGAACCAGTTGTGTCCATGGCAATTAAGCCCAATAATGCTAAGGACAGGGATAATTTCGCAAAGGCAGTGGCGCGTTTCACTAAAGAAGACCCCACCTTCCATTTCTTCTTTGATGCTGATGTGAAAGAAACGCTCGTTTCTGGAATGGGTAAGTGAAAGGATATAGTAACTTTGGCATGGGTAAGTAAATTTATTTGAACACTTGCAGGTGAATTACATTTGGAAATATATGCTCAACGTATGGAGCGTGAATATGGCTGCCCCGTCACATTGGGTAAACCCAAGGTTGCTTTCCGTGAAACACTCGTTAGTCCTTGTGAATTTGACTACCTGCACAAGAAACAGTCAGGCGGTTCGGGTCAGTATGCGCGCATTATTGGCGTCCTGGAGCCACTGCCACCAGATCAAAACACACTGCTCGAGTTTGTCGATGATACTATGGGTACAAATGTGCCCAAACAATTTGTGCCCGGTGTGGAGAAGGGCTTCCGAGAAATGGCTGAACGCGGCATGCTCTCTGGACACCGACTATCTGGTGTACGTTTCCGCCTAATCGATGGAGGACATCACATTGTGGATTCCAGCGAATTGGCTTTCATGTTGGCAGCGCATGGTGCAGTGAAAGAAGTGTTCCAAATGGGTTCTTGGCAAATTTTAGAACCTATAATGATGGTAGAGGTTACCGCGCCAGAGGAATTCCAAGGAGCAGTTATGGGACAGTTGAGTAAACGTCATGGCATTATTACGGGCACCGATGGTGCAGAGGGTTGGTTCACTGTGTACGCAGAAGTGCCATTGAACGACATGTTCGGCTATGCTGGAGAATTGCGGTAAGTTATTGCTTTGATTTATGGAATGGTTAAAAAGAAATCTTGACTTCACAGTTCAAGCACTCAAGGCAAAGGTGAGTTTACAATGGAATATTCACGTTACTCCCCTTGTCTGCCAGATGTGCAGGAACAATTGGTGCGTCAATATCAGGAATCGCAAGGATTAGGACAGGAGAAGAAGAAAAAGAAAAACTGAAAAGGTGTAGCCATAATCGACATTCAATACTAATTTATTTAAGGACTACATACGAGTACTCCATTTTTTTTTCGAAATGTAAGAATGGTAGATAATATTTGAAGCAAAGTTGGCGATCATTGTGTATTTGCTGTTTTAGTTAACTATTTAATATAAAAAATTTAATTTTTTTATACAACTGTGATACAGGTAATAAAAAGTGACAGCAATAAGCCACAGATATGAGGCTGAAGACCACTAAAAAGGTTATTGTTTAAAATTACTTCGTTTATTGCAAAAATACAGCACTACCAGTTCGATTATGGAGATCGAGGAATGGATAGTTGGTACTACCCAAAAACAACCGGATAATTTGAGTTAATCTTGGCAGCACCAAGAGAAATGCCTGGTTTAAGGGACACTTCCAATAACGCGTCTGTTTGAGTGTCCCTTTAAACTGTGTTTATATGAGGCGGTTTTCCAGGCAATTTTAGAGGCGATTAGTTGAATCAAAAGTTGGTTGCCCCCCAACTTCATCGGAAGTGATGAAAGGCCGTTCACTCCAGGCGATTGTTGCTTTCAACTAAAAGTTGCCTGTAAAATCGCCTCATGTGAACACCGTATAAGAAAAGCAATGAATTTCGTTTCATTAGGTTCTTTCCCGTACGCAACGCGGGATCCCGCGGGTGCCCAAAATAGCCCAGAAATCATTCCCCAAATTCTGAGATAGGGTATTTTGCAATAAAATTCTGAAATAGGGCGTTCTTTAAAAGTTTTTTGAGATAGGGCGTTTTTGAACTGGCTGCCGAGATATGTAGGTCGATGTTGTTGTTGTTGTTGTAACAGCATACAAATTCCCCAAAGAGATTTTGGGGAGTGTTGCTGGAGTGACAGTCCTTAGCCAGATATACATCTGGGTCGTTCCGGTTACGTAGACCCGACTGTCGTGGGAACGGAGATAGGTCGATCTTCCAGTCAGCTGTCGAAATAAGATTCGAAATAGGATGAGATTGGAAAGCCTAATTCAATAGTTCGAAAAAGTGTTATTTTTAAAATAAAAATATTTTTTAAATAGATTTTATGAATTAAAAAAAAATGCGATTTTTTCAAAATTGCGCTTTCTTGATCAAGGCGAATTTATACAAGGTGGTGTTGTAAAATCAGCTGATTTCTTCGCCTTACATGTATTTTTACAGATTTGACAGCACGCCCATCAAAAGCAAAAACAAAATACATGTAAACTTTGGAGCGAATTGAGATTTGACATAACACCCTCCATACAAAATACATATGGTTGTCGTTGTTCGCCAGTAACACCACCAAGGCGAATTTATAAAAGGTGGTGTTACTAGCTCAGCTGATTTTGTGTATGTGTTTCGCCGCACGGCTTCTGTAGCTCGTTTCTGTAACAATTCCCTGCAGTAAATGTCGACAGTGAAACTTTATCGATTCGCTATTGACTTTGTCACCAGTACTAGTTCCAAGATATGCGACACACAATGTTATTTGCTATAGACATCTCACATGTGCTTGTCATTGCAATTCTCCAGAGGTATTGACTAAGTACTCCCTTTGGGACCATATGGAGACATTGGCACCAGAGATTCTCTACTACCTTTTAATGTTTATTGTCTACACTTTTTTATACCTTTGGGTAATACAATTAATTGAAACACAGATATGTATATTGTTGATAAAAATGTCTTGTAGATAGTTATTTTTAATAAAAAA